AAGGCTGTGCTCTTTGATCTTTATCAGTAAATATTTTAAGTCCTCTTCACTTTTAAAAGCAAGGTTGTATCATCTGCATATCGCAGGTTGTTAACGAGTCTTCCTCTAATCCTATGTCACATTTTTCTTCATATAATCCAGCTTCTCGGATTATTTGTTCAGCATACAGGTTGAATAAGTATGGTGAAAGAATACAACCCTGTTGCACACCTTTCTTAATTTTAAACCATTTAGTGTTCCCCTGTTCTGTTTGAACAACTGCCTGTTGGTCCAGGTACATATTCCTCATGAGCACAATTAAGTGTTCAGGAACACTCATACTTAGCAATGTTGTCCATAGCTTGTCATGATCCACACAATCAAAAGCCTTTGTGTAGTCAATAAAGCACAGGTAAACATTTTTCTGGTATTCTCTGCTTCCAGCCAAGATCCATCTGATGTCAGCAATGCTATCCCTTGTTCCAGGTTCTCTTCTGAATCCAGTTTGAAACTCTGGAAGTTCTTTGTCAATGTATGCTTGCAGCCATTTTTAGATTAACTTTAGTAGTACTTTACTTTTAGGGATATCAATGATATTGTCAGATGATTTCTGCATTCTATTGGGTCACCTCTCTTTGGAAATGGGCACAAATACAGACTCTTCCAATCGGCTGGCCAGATAGTTGTCTTCCAGATTTCTTGGCATAGATGAATGAGTGCCTCCAGTGCCTCCTCACTTTCTTGAAAGATTTCAGTTTTTATTCCATCAATTCCTGGAGCCTTGTTCTTTGCCAGTTTCTTCAGTGCACTTTGGACTTCTTCCTTCACTATCATTGGCTTTTGATCATATGCTATCTCTTGAAATGGTTGAATATCAACCATTTCCTTTTGGTACAGTGACTGTGTATTCCTTCCATCTTCTCTTGATGATTTCTGCATCATTCAATAATTTGCCCAGAGAATCCTTCAATATGTGATGGTAGTGGTGGTTATGTGCCATGGAGCAGATTCCGACTCATTTGGTTCCAGAGGCTGTAAATCTTTGTTGGAGCCGAAAACTTCGTGTTTTAGAACTGCTGACCTGGAGGTTAGCAGCCCGATTCATAACTGTAGACCCACAAGTGCTTTCAATTGTTCACGAAGCCCAGAACTTTGGATGCAGTTGGCCACAGAGGGCTGATGAAATTCTCAATTTGGGTGGTGTTCTAAATCTGTTAAAAACACAATTTAATAACCTTTTAAAATATTTTTTAAATGATATATTGTTTTAACAGTTGGATCCAGAAATTATAGGTTAATCTCAAATCAATAAACCTATAAAAGTTAGATGGTTGATTGATGACTAGGAAGACACTAGACAGCTTTGCCTCATGGTTAAGAACAAAGTCATTTGGTTCCTGCATGGTGGTGGTTGGTTATGTGCATGGAGTTGGTTCCTACTCGTACACAACAACCCTGGCCCAGGGTTTCCAAGGCTGTAAATCTTCACGGGAGCAGAAAGCCTCATCTTTTTCCTACGGAACAGCTGGTAGTTTCGAATTGCTGTCGTGGTTTGTAGCCCAATCCTGGCTGCCACATGTTATAGAAGCGAAGCCAGTTACTTAACTTTTCTCATGGTTAAAGAAAAGGGCAATGAGATCTTTCAAAAAGTGTTGATTGCCAGAATTAAATGATCCAATATTTAAAGTTCTCAGCTACCATGTGCCCAGTGAGTTTTCACTTAAAGTGCCCCATGTCATAGAGTCAAAGTGTCCCATGGGTATTCTAGGCTGTGATCTTTAGGGAGGAGCCCTGGTGTGGCGCTGTGGGTTAAAGCACTAGACTGCAAGGCCAGTTTGTGGTTCAAGCTCACAGCCTTTCCTTGGACACCCCATACAGGGTCGCTAGTGCTGTCATGTCATTTAACTCAGCTACCCAGTATAAGATTTCCGAAGAGTGACTGGTGAGTTTGAACTGCCGACCTTGTGGTTCAAACTGACCTTGGGGTCCTGCGCTTATCGCTTACCCTTCAGCACCACAGTGAGTTAATGAATTAAATGTTTGACCAAATACAGCAGGCTAATTTTTAAGTTGATAGTTTTGTATGGTCTACAAATGATGTTATAAATTTTGACAGATAAAAGGTTCCCCGCCTCTGCTCTAAGTACTATTTTGTTAATCATAAAGTTTAGTCAGCCATCATGTTAACCTTTGGATATTTTGGGACCTGCCTAACTATTAACTCTTGCTGGGAGCATGCTGCTGGAGGGGAGGGAAGGGGAGTCCGATTTTGGAGTCAGTTCAGAATGAACAGTGAAAATGAAGTCCAGTTGACATCTTTGACCGAAGTCTCTATGTCAAGTACCTGGGTTTTTGAGGCTACTTCACAGTTAGCAGCTGAGTGCTCAACCAGTGTATCAGTCCGGCTCCTTAGAAGGCTGTATATAGCTTTCACAAATGTTACTCAGAAGAGCATTCTGAAGATGATAGAGCTGTTTTCTTAGTGAACTATAGAACTCAGAGCAGTACTCCACTTATATTCTGGAAATCTTAAAGACATTTGTTGTTAATTTGAACTACAGACCAGTTAACAGAATTTATGTTAACTTCCTATCCACTCCTTCCTCTCTATTTAAAAATGATTGAATTATTTCATTGTATTCAAATACAATTAATCTTTAAATACTTAATAAGATTATTTGAAATATTTAGAAAAATAGAATACTGCTAGAATTTCTTTCAGCACATTAAGTATTTTTTTTATGTTAAAATAATTTCAAGTTTACAGAAAAGAAGAATGCAAAGAGCTTTATCCTCATTATCACCTGAGAACCCAAAAACCTATCACCATCTACCTGTGTCTGACTCACAGTGACCCTAAAGGGCAGACTGGAACTGCTCTCTAGGGGTTTCTAAAATTAAATATGGGAACAGCCTTATCTTCTCCCATAGAGCAACTGGTGGGTTTGAACTGCCAACTCTGCAGTTAGTAGCCCAATGTCTAACTAACAGGCTCACTAGGACTCTTGAGAGCATGCTGCATATACCAGGGGGCTTCAAAAAGTTTGTGGAAAAATGGAATGAAAAGATAATGGAATTTTCTCATGAACTTTTTGAGGCTTAATGAAAAAAATAAGCTTTATCATCGTAGAATGCTCCATTGTGTTTCATAAGCAAGGGAACTCTTCTACATGACCTCATGTGACCTTCAATATCAAGACATATGTTGTTGTTGTTAAGTGTCATCAAGGCCATCAAGACATACACACATGAATATAATTCTACGATAGCATTCAAATTACCCTAGTTTTTCCAACAAATCTAGTTAGATAATGCAAGGAGTCCAAATTCAGGATCAGGCTTTATTAACATCAGGTTATCATGGCTCCCTTATTTCTTTCAATCTGGAAGAGTTTATTAGCTATTCCTTCACTCTTGTAGCTTTGACTTGTAAAGATCACAGGCCACTTGCTTGAAGAATGCCTCCTCGTCATGTATTTCTTCGTGGCTAGATTTAGTCTATGAATCTTGCAGCATCGAACTGATTCCTTTCATTCCAGCCAATTTTCTTCCTTATTGATAATTCTTTTGTTACTTAAGAAGGTATCTGCCGGCTTTTTGCATAGTAGACTTTTCTCTAGCAACATTCATTTTGTGGGGAGATGCTTTGGGATCATATAAAATACTCCACTATCCATCAAACCTTCACCTACGGACTTCAGCATTCATTCATACTTTCTATCCAACTTGATTTTTATAATGATGGCTGCCAAATGGTGACCTTCCAATTTTTATCATTTCTCCCACATTAATTATTTGATATTTTTCTGTGTGAAAGGCTTTTTTTTTTTAACCCCCATTTTTAGAATTAATATCAAAATGGACTTCATTTTAATATGTATTATTTATTTTTATTTCCTATCATATGGCACTTAGGATAAGCACTGGACTGCTTGCTGACTTCAAGGTTGACGATTTAGACCCACTAGCTATTCCTCAGAAACACTAAATAGAGTCACTATGAGTTGGAACCTACTTAATGGCATTTAATAACATAAATAAGCACTCTTTATAAAATTAATTTTCTTGAGTATAATTTACATTTGATACATTCACATCTATTGACAAATATTTTTCGTTATGTAGCCACCACCACATGATGATATCCAATATTTCCATCACGTCAGAAAGTTCTATCATCCCTCTTTGTAACAATGAATCCCCTTTCCCTATCCCTGGCTTCTGGTAGTCAACAGATTTACATTCTGTGCTTTCTTAGTTTCTCGTCTAGAATTTCATGCACGTTGAATCATCTTGTTAATATTCTGTAGTACCTAGATAATGTTTTAGAGATTCATCTGTCTTGTTGCCTTTAACAGTAGCTAAATCCCTTTAATTGCTGAATAATGGTCCATTATATGGATTTATAACATTTCATCTATTTTGATGGTTAAATCTCCCTATTTGCCAGTGGGAGCCCCTTCAGGTTGGCTTCTGTCTTCTTTTGACATGTCTGTCAGTCTTTAAATGCTTCCTTGTTTTCTAGTAAACTCTTTTCCAGGCCTGTCTTGTACCTTCCCTGTCACAGCCGTCTTACCAGTGTGGCATGGTATTTAGAACCAATCTAAGTATGCCGGTATTTCTGTTGTTGTGTGCTGTTGAGTTGATTCTGGTTCAATGATTTATCCTTTTTAGGCAAATTCAGGGACAAAGGATTAATAAATCAATTTATTAAACTTTTATGTGTGGAAAGCAGTATTATACAGTGTTAGCAGAGTTTGAACTCTGTACTTCCTTAGAGCTACACTCAAATTTTGACTCTGGCACACATTTAAAAAACAACTATGGGCTATTTAACTCCTTTAAACCTCAGTTTCCTGTTCTGTAAAATGGGAATAAAGGCATTTATCCTGCAAGGTCAGGGATTCACACTCATCAGCCACTTTTCAGATACCCTATGCAGGGTCACTATGTGTCGGAAACAACTCGACAGCACTTATAAACAACAACATACTACAAAGATTAGAATTAATAACTGTACAGCATTTAGCATAGTACCTACCACGTAGTAATCACTTAAATACTATTAACAAATGCTTTTATATAAGGTAATATTGTAATTTTTTTTGTCTCCTGAGGGAGGAAAAGATTAGTATCTGTGTCCGTAGGTGGAAACAGCACATTAAAAGCAATTGAACTAAGTGAAAGGGTTCTGATTTTGTATTCAATATTTTTTAAGCCAGAAGATTTATTTATAGATTACTGGGGGCAGGGGAAAGTTTACTGCTTGAAGGACTTAAAATTGCTTTGTTGAGTCATCTGAACTGTTTTACGATTCAAGTTATAAATACTACCTTTTCTTTTTTTACAACAAAAAAAATCTTTTCATCCTATGACTTTAGGAGCTTTACTGGCAGTCGAACATGTAAAAGATAATGTCAGCATTTCCATTGAAGAAGGGAAAGAAAATATTCTTCGTGTTTCTGAGTAAGTGTTTTTATATTCTTGTTCTGTGTACTTAACAACCTTTTTTAAATATTCAGGATTAAATGCTATATGCTTGCTTTACTTGCTACTTAGGTAGCTTGCCCTAAGAAAGAAGTATGCGTTTTCTTCATCATTTAAAAAACCTGTACCCAGAGACTTAGATTTTTTAGCAGGCTATATCTCATTACACTTGTAATATGCTTAATGGAACTAAAAATGTACAGACAGAACTATATGTAAGGCTTTGAATTCCATTGTAATTTATTCTACTAGAAAATTGGAAGTTATTTAAAATCACTAATGATAAAGGTAACATGAATAAGTTTGATTCCATAAATATGGTAAGTTCATAACATGCAATGTTAGGCAGCTATGAAGACAGGTATATGGGGAATTTATTTTTTAACTTTTTATTGGGAATTAAGATAAGGTTTGTAAAGTAGATAGTCAGTTTTACATTCACCAAATCATACACTTATGAAGAATTTTTAATGATGGAAATTTATAATCTTACCTTAGTTTTCATCAAGACTATGTATGAAATTCTTTGGAATCCTATTTCTAGATGATTGTTTATTCCCCTCCCTCCAGTCCTCCATTTTCCCTGCTCTAGGAGCAAACATTTCAACTCTTTTGAGTTGATGCTTTTTGTATTGATCTGTTTCTAAGTAATGCACTAGAATTGCTTCACCTTGTTTTCCAGTTTTTTTAAAGGGACTGTTTCTGCTGTGGAAGATGAAGCTGAAACTCTTTTCTCTTGTTGCTACAACGTGCACATACTCACCCTACAGCCTCCTTTTTCTCCCCCTACCTCCTCCTTCTTCCCATTGTTGTTGTTCTTGTTGTGTGCTGTGGAGTCGGTTCTGACTCAGCGACCCTGTACAGGGTTTCCGAGGCTGGAAATCTTTACGGGAGCAGAAAGCCTCATGTTTCTCCCGCGGAGCAGCTGGCAGTTTCGAACTGCTGACCTTGCGTTGCGGCTCGCAGCCTCTTCCCATTGTAGTTAAATCATAATCTTGGTTAGATCACTATCCAGTGTTTATATTACTATGACCATCTAAATTTTATTCACGGAACCCCATCTACTTTGATTACTTCTCATATACATTTAAGCTTTCCATGGAATCATTATTTGGTTTTTTATGAAGTTCTTCTGATTCCTGATCTTTTCTATGTGGCTTCAGGAAGTTTGTAAGACTCTTCCCTTAGGATTCATTATTTTGAAATTTCATGTTTCTGTTGTAGCAATGTGTTATTCACGGACATAAATTCCATACTTCGTTACTTGGCTAGAGTTGCAACTACAGCTGGGCTCTATGGCTCTAATCTGATGGAACATACGGAGGTAAGGCATCAACATTTCTCTGTGTTTTTTGTTTTGATTAATGCTTTTGCATTTTTGAGAACCTCATTATCTTATCATTAGTTTATGTACAATTATTGTATTTAAGGAGTCTTGGTGCGGCACTATAGGGTAAGCACTGGACTGCGCAATTGGTTCGAATTGCAAGGTCGGTGGTTCAAACTCACCATCTGTTCCTTGGAAACCAAACTCACTATGAGTCGGAATCAACTTGATGGCACTTAACAACAACAATAACATTGTATAAAAGGGAGTCCTGATATGGCTCTGTAGGGTAAGCACTGAACTGCTAACTGCAAAGTTGGCACATCAAACCTACCTGCCACTTCTCAAAAATTTTATACACAGTTGCTCTGAGTCAGAACAGACTCCACCGTACTTAACAACAGCATTGTATTTAAGGATTTCAAATTCCTACTTTAAATTATAGAGCTAGTTAAGAAGAAATCCTCAGCTTGTTTGTGTTTTCAGATAATTTTTTTTAATTTCCTTAGCTCTTAACCTTGAAACTTTAATCCCCATCAGCTGTCCCAATATGACGCTGAGTGCTGGCTTTCTCTAACTAGATTCTTAGAATTCCATAGCTGGCAGGGACCAGGTTATTATTGTTAGATTGTTGTTGTTAAGTGTCCTCAAGTTGATTCCAACCCATAGCAACCCTGTATAGGGTTTCCGAGGAGCAACTGTGAGCTTGAACCACCGATCTTGCAGTTCAAACGCCATTGTAGTCTGTCAAGTCAATTCTGACTCAAAGCAACCCCATATGACAGAGTAGAGCTGTCCCAAAGAATTTTCATGGTCGCTGGGTAGGTTTGAATCCGGAACCTTTTGGTTAGTAGAGTATGCTTAACTGCTGCGCCACAAAAGCTGCTTGGAAGTGAATATATAGTTAATTTTATCCAGCTTCCAACTCCTTTACTATGGATAAGATAGCAGGCCTACAAAAGTAAACAGGTTTGATGAATGTTAACAGATTAATTAAGGCTTCCTGGAATACTACTCTTTAGATCAAGGGTGGGGTATGTCTGGCCCAAGGGCCATACAAGGCCTGCAGAATCATTTGGTCTGGCCCTGCCAAGGCAGTTTCAGTTCCAGCCGTCATTTAAAGCAGGCTAATTTTTAAGTTGATAATTTTGTATGGCCCACAAATGATGTTATAAATATCCAAATGTCCCTTGGCAGAAAAAAGTTCCCCCTCCTTGCTTTAGATACTTCCTATCTTGTCTTTTATTCCTGTTTATACTCTTTCAATTCTAACTTTCCTAAATCTCATAAAAATCCAAAGTATAAATAATGGTTTCTGAAGATTTATTTTGGAATTCTGCAAGTGGATGAGTCTGTGTGATTTGGTACCACTCCTTGGGCTCTTTCAGATTGGTTGTTTCTCCCTGTTTTCATGTCTTTCTTATTTTTGGTTTCTTGCTTTTATTTTCCACCTCTCCCTTCCTCCTCCCCCCACAAAAGAAAGGATGAAACAATAATAAAATGTGATGCTTAGAGTGCTCACATTAGAACTAAGTGCTCAATTTAGAACTAAATCAAACTAAATCCTCATAATGATAAATTCTATAATCTGAGTTTAGGAACACTAGAACTAAATCCTCATAATGAATAAATTCTGTAATCTGAGATAAGAAAGAATTGGTCTAGCCGAGAAAGCCAAAGGTATCGTGTTGCTCCAGTTAATCATGTTTTTTTTTCTCTTGATCTTTAAGTCTAAACCCTGGCATGCATTCTTTCTGTTTTCTCTTGTTTGTTAACAGATTGATCACTGGGTGGAGCTCAGTGCTGCAAAGCTGTCTTCATGTAACTCATTTATGCCTGCAGTCAATGAACTGAATCATTGCCTTTCTCTGAGAACATACCTAGTTGGAAACTCCTTGACTTTAGCAGATTTATGTGTTTGGGCCACCCTCAAAGGTATTTGTAATTCTTCTTAAAGAATGCTCTGTTATAATGATTTAATCTTTTACAGCGCAAGAAGAGCACATACTTAAATATTTATGTATTTGTGTGTGTATTATGGACAGGCATTGATAGAGAATGACCAGTGGTGATTTTTTGCTGTCCAGTCATGGGAATTTGCTTTTTCTCTGCTATTCCTGGGTCTTCTGTGTCACTGTCCCATCTCCCCTTTTACCTTTGGATTTGACCATGTTTCTGTTAAAGGAGCCTTCATCCCGTGTATGTCACACCCCTCCGACCTCAGCTATCCCTCTAGTCCAGACACTGTTGTCTCTGACTTGAATTCAGTCCTTTTAACTGCTCAGTATGTGAGCGTGTGGGTTAATGGGCTGTACTGCAAGCTAGGTTTGAACCGCAAGGTTGGTGGTTCAAGCTACCAGACAATCCTTGAAAACCCTATACAGGGTCGCTATGAGTCGGAACCGACTTGACGGCTCTTAACAACAATAAATGTATTTTCCATGGGGCCTCAGTGATGTAATTCTTCTGGGGTGTCTCTTTTTTTATCTTCTACTAGGTTGTAATAGATAAGAAATATGCTCTTACCTGCTTGGGAAGTCAGTTACTTTTAAACACCTTCTGCTAAGTATAATTGATATATGAAAAAAGCTGCCCCTACTTAAAATGTAAAAATTGATTAGTTTAATATATACAGACATCTGCGGAACTAGCACCAGAATCAGTAGAGTGAAAATTCCACCATCTTCAAAAGTTCCTCATGCCCATTTATCTTCGTCCTCTGGTCCAAGGCAAGCATTATTACAAATGGCAGTTCCTTTCCTCTGTGGTGGAGATTTTAATGAAATGCATATGAACTGAATATATGGTGTCTTGGTGTGGCGCTGAAGGATGAACACTGGACCATGAGGTCTATTTGAACAACAAGGTGGTGGTTCAAACCTACCAGCCGCTCCTCGGAAACCCTATATGGGGTCTCTATGAGTTGTAACCAACTTGATAGCACTTACCAATAACAACAACTGAATATATTGGCGAGGGGGGTGTGAGGGACAGGCAGGGAGCTAAAGTTCTGAAATGTTAGGACCCAACATGTAACATGGCTAGGAGGAAAAGAGCAATGGTGTGAGAGGTGCTTAGGAAATTCATGAAAAAATAATTGTGAGTGCCTTAATAAGGTAAACATAAAATTGCCATTGTTATTGTTAAGTGCCTTCGAGTCTGATAAAAAAAACTTCATAGCGACCTTTCGGTTCAAACTGACCTTTGCTATCCAGGGCTTTATCCCACAGAGACTACACCAGGACTCAAAAAATTGTCAGGTAGTCCAGCAATTCCACATTTTGGGGTATGTACTGAAAAATAATTGAAAACAGTTATTAAAGCAAAAACTTGTATATAAATGTTTATAACAGCACTATTTACAGTGCCAAAAGTTAGGCAGGTTTTTGCCTATCTTGATGTTAACTTTAGCCTTTAGAAAGTAGAATTCGATAAAGGGAATTCTTAATTCATACCAACAAGAAAATTGTGAAAATTCCCAACAAGATCCTAAAGGTGTCACTGAGTTAAGGAGACAGATGCTGGAGTATGGAAAATTGATGGCGGACAAGAAAAGGTAGACTTAGCATGGTCAGTCATGTTTGCAGTCTTGACTTCATAGAGACAAATACCAAAGAAATGAATTTGGGGAGATTAAAATTGTACGTGCTTTCATGATAGGAGATCACATAAGAAATAAGGGCCGAAGAGAGTTTGGAATATTTAATTCTGATTATAGTTGTAAATGATTCCACAGAAAATAAGGGAACTGTGCAGGGAGCTCTGTAGTGAGAATGGTTTTCAAGAAAGCATGGGCTATGAAGGAAGGCCTGCTTAGGATGGTTGATACAGTTCTGTAGGAGAACCATTCTGGTAATATTGGATCTTGACTGACAGTAGAGAATACCAGAAAGATGTTAACCTGTGCTTTATTGATAAAGGCAAAGGCTTTCAATAGTATGGATCATGACAAGCTATGGATAGCGTTTCAGAGAATAAGTTTTCTGAAACACTTAATTGTGCTCATGAGGAACCTGTACATAGACCAAGAGGCAGTTGTTTAAAAAGAACAAGGGATCACTGAATATTTTAAAATCAGGAAATGTATGTGCCAGGGTTATATTCTTTCACCGTACTTATTTAATCTGTATTTTGAGCACCTAATCTGAGAAGCAGGATTCTGTGAAGAAGAATGTGGCTTCAGGATTAGAGGAAGACTCATCAACAACCTGAGCTATGCAGATGACACAACCTTGCTTGCTGACAGCAAAGCGGACTTAAAATACTATCTTATGAAGATCAAAGAACACAGACTTCGATATGGGTTGCATCTCAATGTAAAGAAAACAAAACTTCTCTCCACTGGATCAGTAAAAATCATCCATATAAATGAAGAAAGGATTGAAGTTATCAAAGACTTCATTTTGCTCAGATCAACCATCAATACTCATGGAAGCAGCAGCCAAGAATTCAAACTACGTATTTCGTTAGGCAGATCTGCTGCACAAGCAAAAATACCAGTTTGAGGACTAATGTGTGCCTGACCCAAGCCATGGTATTTGAAGTAACCTCATATGTGTGAGAAAGTTGGACTGTGAATTAGGAAGACCGTAGAAGAACTCACGCATTTGAGTTATGGTGTTGGAGGAGAATATTAAAAGTACCGTGGACTGCCAAAAGAACACATAAATCTGTGTTGGAAGAAGTACAGCCAGAGTGTTCCTTGGAAGCCAGGATGGCCAGACTTTGTCTCTCATACTTTGAACATATGAGCCCAGACCAGTCCCTAGAGAAGGACATCCTGCTTGGTAAAGTGAAGGGTCAGTGAAAAAGAGGAAGATCCCCGATGAGATGATTGGCACATTGGCAGCAGCAATGGGTTCAAGCATAACAACGATTGTGAAGTTGGCACAGGACTGGACAGTGTTGCATTCTTTCGTGCATAGGGTTGCTATGAGTCATTACCGACTTGAAGACTCCTAACAGAAAAATTAATATTGAAGCCTTTGATTTATTACAGACTTGAAGTGTACTAATGTGCTGTGCACAGCAATGATAAAACATGAACTTCATTGAAATGGGGCTAGGTAGAGGCTATATTCCATTGAGTGAAAATTTATGAAGTAGAGTGGGAGAAGAATGGGATTGGTAGAGGCATGAGGGGGACTTGAATTTTGTTATTTATCAAAGAAGCTGAAGGAAATAGGCCAAAATTTTTTATCATTTAAAAATCTGGTAGTGAGTTAAATATGTTGGGTGTTTTTACATTCTCTATACTTTTTTGTGGCTTATACCTTTTTTCCAAATTAAAAAATAACTTACATATGGTATAAGTAAAAATATTTCTACAAAATCATAGAAACCTTTATTGAATAATTTCAAAATGTGAATCTATTATTTCTTGACATCTCCTCTGTCTAGGCGTATACACTTCTGGAGGTGGTGATTCCATCTCTCTAGCCCTTCCCTGAAGGATTCTTCAATTTGCAGCATATTAAAACAACAGTTTTAACATCCTCAAGGGACTCAAATGTTCCTTTGAAATTTTCTTTATAGTTTTGGGCCAAAATGAAGTCTGAAGGAACCAAGATGAGGGTTTAAACACATATAGTTTGGAATTTAAACCCACGTGTGTATGAAATCCTAGTAGCAATATTTTTTGACTTGCCTCATAAAGCCTTTTGTGTCATACCTTTTCATTTATATGTGTATCTTTGACTTAATATTTGTGAAAGAAAGATATTCATGTTTCTATAATCCTTGAAGTAGTAGCTTTGTGATGTTAAAGAGTTGAATATTTTATATATTGCGTCTGCATAGATGAGCTATTTGATCATCTTATCTTAATTTTTATTTCATTCTCTAGTTGATCTACTTACCACTTTTCCTTAATTATGAAATGTAACGCTGGCCTTACAATCACGTGGATGGTAACAGTGGAATCTTAATATAGAACATTAGTAAATTGAACTGAAAAAGTGTATTTCATAATTTTGTGAATTCTGTAAAACATGTTGAGATATTTAGAAAACATTTTAACGTTTGACCAGATTGTATAAATTTCATTATAGAGGTACAGCTTTGCTGTTGAGGTTGCACGTTTATTGAAATTATGTTTAATTTCAACAGGAAATGCTACCTGGCAGGAGCAATTGAAGCAGAACAAAGCTCCGGTCCATGTAAAACGCTGGTTTGGCTTTCTTGAAGCCCAGCGGGCCTTTCAGTCAGTAGGTTCTAAGTGGAATGTCTCAACAACCAGACCTAAAGTAGTGGTAAGCCCTTTTATTTTCTTTTTTAATGCTGGCATTTTGGTGTTGCTGAGATTTTTCTGAGACCTTACATCTTAAAAGAAAATTATTTTTACAAAATTTGTTTTCTGTTTATAAGCGAAAAAGGCTCAGTGTGCCATTGTTAAGTCTTGGCTTGACTTTAAATGTTCAACTACTTAAAATCCTAAGACTGTGATATCTGAAGTGTGTCCCATAGGAAAGCCAAACTCCATTTAACTAAAATCTCATTGTTTTATAGGTATGCCATCTTCTTTTGCTCCTGAGTCTACCCTTTTGGTTTTGAGCAATTGAGTCTTCCTACTTCTGTAGGAAGATGTGGCATAGAGTAGAGTTGAGAAGGTCCTCTTTCCCACCTGGTGTCACTCTACTGTTTTACATCTTAGTCTATGTTGTGAAGTTTCAATTTTGGAAACTGCTGTCTGCTTAGATAAGAACACAGCCCACTCAAAACAGGCTAAAAAGACTGACTCATCTTCTTCACCTCTTTTCACATCTAATTGGTCTACAAGTTCTCTTACTATTTTTCTTAGTTATAGATTTGTTTTCTGTCCGTCTCCACTGACATTGCTCTTTTACTGCATTTCCATCTACTTAGGTTTATACTATAATATCTTAATCATGTTTACCTATGACTTATTGACTATG